TTTTTGTATTCGGCTCTATTTAAAAAGTTCGGGACCAATTTTAGTACTTTAACAATATAAACATGTACTTTAACAATATAAACATGTACATAAACATGGTATAAGAAAAATTTCTGAATTTGCAGAGTTTCAAAGCCAAACCTCTTGGTTGTTTGTTCATTTAAGACATGTTCACTTAGAGAAATTGAAATATTAAAGGTTATGAAATATTAAAAGGTTATAAAATATTAAAAAAATTTAATTATATGGCCATTTTTTGTTAAAAATTTAAAAAATTACTAAAACTAAACATTTTTTGAATGGACAAAATAAGACATTACTTGATCTTATTTTATCTTTTTTTTTTAAATTTTTTTCAATTTTCTTTGAAATTAAAAACAAAACATTTTTATTAACGTTTTATTTACAATTGGTTTTTGTATGGTTTATACAAACTTGATACAAAGTGATGGAACACAGACATTACGGAATCATCTGTGGTAAATAGAAGAGGTTGAGTAAGAGATAAGGTTGCAATGCTATTTTATATAAAGTTAAAAAAAACTTTCATATAATATTTTGTTTGAACTTTTTTTATTAAAAGAGGAGGGGGGATGGCTTTATTATCTCATCACACACTTAGTACGTTGTAGTTGTATATTACAATGTGTCACCATCTACCTTTAAAAAAATAAGTGCTCTAAAAGGTTACAAGCTAAAGTAATTTATAAATTGATGAGTTTACTACGGAGAAACCACAGATGTCCAAATTGAGTGTCTTGTTTTCAAAAGAACACTTTGAATAAATAGTACTTGTATTTAGCACAAAAACTGCGTTTTTATTTTGTATAAGGACTAAAATGTCTTAAAAGTATACTTTTAATAAACTATTAATAAACAGATATCTAATGTCACTAAACACTAAATTTTATTTTTCTCAAAATGAGAAAAACGTGACATCTGTGGTTTTACCCGTGTAGTCTACAAATAGTATAACTGAAATTCTCCATGAAGATAACAAAGAGTATAAATTTATATTTAGTTCAATTGAGAACACATATAATGCAATTTTTTTAAATGTCATAGTCTACAATATTTAATCTGGCGTTTACACATTTAATACTTAAGATTTAAGTTAATAGCTATTTTATTTTCCATTTCGCTTAACTCGGAATATTATAACTATTTTTTGATATTGTCTGCTTATTTCCGTGTTTTGTTTTAATCAAAATTATGTGGTGGCTTTTCACAATTCCCAATAAGTATTTCTGCTTGCACCTAAAAGTACTTTTTTTTTTCTAACTATAATTTTTTTACGATAGTGTATATGCAGATTTTTGTCAACTATGATAACAAAATACCAATATGGTTTTGTTGCATGTAAATAATTAAAAATAAATGTTTACTTTTCATCGATTCTGCATGAGAGAGAGAGTGGGGAGAAGTGGGACATCAAAAAATATTTCTACAATAATATTTTTATACAATGTACTTCACCAAACAAGTTTTAACAAATGAAGCATCATTTCACACACTTATAATAATTATATACATTTATGATTTTAGAGGCACCTTGCCATTGGGGTAAAATGCGATAAGTATAGAGAGAAATGAGGCAATCAAGTAATTAACAAAATATTAAGAAAAAGAATTAACATCATATGACGAAAGCTAGACTGCTAAACTTGCGATGTTCCAATTGGTCAGTTCTAGGTTCGCTTTTATTTCTTATTTATAAAATGATTTCCATAATTTTTTAAATACTTTAAACTCAATTTGACACAAATTTATTTTATTTATTTTTTTTTAATAATTTTTATTTTGTCAATATGCACACATTTTAAAATGTTGTCCTTACAGTTATTATATGTATATATATTTTTTTTACAATATGACTGGAGCAAGTAGAAAACAGCACGTCTTATCATCATGCCTTTTTGTAAAATAAAAAATATATAAATAAAATTTTCTAATCTTAAGCAAAAGTTTGAAATTTATAAAACAAACTGAAACTAATAAAGCTTTTACAATTTAAATACGTAATAAAATATTTTTTTTTAATTTAAAAAAATTTAAGAAAATTAAGAACACTTAGAAGATTTAAATTCATTTATTTTTTTAAAACAGAATTAAAACAAACAAATACAACAATAAAAGAATATCATATGATATTGTTTTGAATAGTCAAAAAAAGGTTTTTTTAAAAAAAAAATGAGAGTGTATGCATTGCTTAAATTTAGTATATTTTTTTTATTATTCATTAAATGTATTGGTAGATCTTATGTTTTTCGTATTTTCGTCAAGAGTAGAGTTCCTCTAGCGTGGTCCCCAACATGTACTTGAGAAGTCAGATTTTAGTTGAATGTAGTACTTATTAAGTGTCTTAAAATTAAAAATGTTTTGAAATTATTTCATTTTGTTATTTAAACGTAAAAAATTAAAAATGTTTTGAAATTATTTCATTTTGTTATTTACGCCTAAAACTAACTTATTGTTTCAAATCATGTACTTGTTAAATCATAAGGTACTCCTTGTTTGTAATTCTTTAGATAACATTCCAGTCATTTTAAGTTAGAATTACTCCGTAATTGCGCAGTTTGTAGAAAGGAATCTTGTGGTTGACAGTACCCAATGCTTTCAATAGATTAGGAAAATTCCGAGTGTATAACTATTGTTTTTAAAACCATTCAAAACTTGGTTGGCTAGATTAATTATTGCATGTTTTGTAGAATGATTATTTCGAAAACTAAACTGTTTATGATAAAGAATGTTATTTTTTTAAAATAGTTGTACAGTCTGTTATACATAATACGCTCAAGTATTTTGGAATAAAATTAAACACGGACCATACAGAAAAGTATGGTCCGTGTTTAATTTTATGGAGTCATCACCGCTTTTATGTATCGGAATTATTTTTGCTAATTTTATTTGATTACGAAAGATGTTTTTTTTAAGTGAAAGATTAAAATTATAAAACTAGGTTTTTGCAATAATATCAGAGACTGCTTTTACAACATTAAGGTTAATTTCATCCACGCACTCATTTGTTTTTGTAATATCAATAAAATTTTGATATTCATGTCTTGCGTGTCTTTAATCCAAACCTTCATAACTTAGTGTGAACAAAGAAAAAGATAACGCCATGTGTGGGAATCAGTAAGTTTTAATTTTTGTGAACTTTAAAAATATTAATATTGTATAATACTTCAGATAATTATTAAAGACCCGTATTTTACTGGTCTGGAAAGCTAGGATATATATGTAAGGCAAAAGTATAGAAAAGGTCTGTTTGGAATAGACTTACAAAAACCCGCATTTTTACGAGTCCGGTCAGCTATCGCTTTTAAAATCTTGAACTCTGACTTCAAAGTTTTTAATCATCTTTATAATTTTTAAATTTATTTTTTTAGAAATTAAAAATTCTCTTTAAATTCTTTTTTAATGTTGTAATTACAATTTTTATGTTTTTGTAGATGATCGGGTATATTTGGAAAATGAAACTGCTTTGTTGAAAAGTTATTATCAAAACATTTTTTTCTATGCGTTATACGCGACTTATCATTTTAAATTGTCTTGTTTTTGAATATGCAGTACCAATACCAATGACGTATAATAAATATAATAAACTTGCTTTGAAAATAGGTGTTGACTCACAAGACGTTGCTGAAGATACTATGCTAGATGCAGTAGCGAAATTGCATAAAAATACTGCTAATGATGAAGTTATTGATAATGTTGTGTCGTGTGATCGTAGTTGGCAGAGAAGAGGCTTTTCATTGTTAAGCAGTGTTTTTTCTACATTATCAATGGAAAAGTTTTAGATGTGTAATCAATGTGTAGGTCTTGCAAAGATTTCTTTTTAAAAAAGATCTTTTAAAAACGTTATTCTACTCAACATGTAACCAATAAACCAATATTCCAACTTAGTGACACAAAAGTAGCAAGTATGTTAGATTTAGTGTTTACAGCCTCTTGTTTTTGTATATCTAGACTGGTACATATGGATTCGTTAAGAAAAACAAAAAGAGGCCATCATGTTTTAAGTTTTAATTTTAATTATCAAACACACAGTAATTGAAAAAATGAAAATGTCACAACAAAAGACTAAGGGTATACTTAAAAGGAAATTATAATGAATTTTCAAAATAACTTAACAGATTTAACTGGAGTCACGAGTTTACTGAATTCGATGTTGATTGGAGTTTAAAAATGAGATAAAGGTTTATCTCATTTTAAAATACTAGATCTAAAAAAAAATTAAAATAAAAAAATAAGGTAGCCAAAAATCTTGTAAAGATTACAATTAAAAAAAAAAAATTGTAATAGAAACGAAAAATAATTCAAAACAAGTTTACGGTTATATTAGTAGTGAACTAAAAGCTATAGACCATATAAGAGCAATTTTAATTGAAAACAACGAAACTGACAGTTAAGTTTTTAAGATATATAAAAAAAAACAATTATTAAATTGAAATTTTCACAAGTTTCCAGGTATAGATCGATGTTTACTTGTAAAACATTGCCAACAAGCTGGTTAAAAGCGAATACTATAACAATTTATAAAAACGGGGATAGGATGTATGCCGGTTACTACCGCCCAATTTCATTGGTCTGTGTTGTTTTTAAGATAATGGAAAGTATTGCTAAGTATACAATAATGAATGGTTTAACTAAAAATAAATTAATAATACCAGAACAACACGGATTAGTTAGATTAAAAAATCAAGTGTGACAAATCTTTTTGAGACTTTAGATATAATAACCAGAAGCAATAAATAATGGAAGATTTGTTTATATTGTCTTTTTGGATTTTTCTAAGGCATTTGATTCAGTTTCTAATGCATTCGATTCAGTTCCAGACTGTTCTTGAAACTGAAATCATTTGGTATTATTGGAAAATTGATGCTATGGTGTAAAACTTTTTTAGCAAATCGAAAACAGAAAGTTGTTTTGGGTGTATTTGAATCAGAACGCAATTTAGTTTGTTGGGGGGTACAACAAGGTTCGGTTTTGGGACCTTG